AGGGCGGGGAGGCATGGTGGTGCAGGTGTCTGCCTGCAGCTTGAGCTGAGCGCACCAACTCCTCCTCAGTTTGATGGCTTTGAAGAAGTGGCACTGCCTGATGTGGAAGAGGAAGAAGAACCCTCCAAGATACCCACAGCCTCTAAGAGCAAAAGAAGAAAAGAGATGGGCGCCCAAAACCATGATAAGGTACGTCTGGGTGTTGGGGGTAATTTGTTGCTCATGAAGGAAGCCCTGAGTTTTCTCGGGACATGTTTCTTTGGCATAATGTGATCCCAGGCTTTGGGGCTTTAGATGCAGGACTTCCCCAGATTGGAGCCCAGGTCAGGTTGCTGTGGCCTTTCAGAGCCTGTGGGAGGTGGTGTCATTGCCAAGGAGGCCCTGGTTACCTCCCCAGAAGGATGCTGGTCCTCTCTTCCAGCTCAGAGCCGCCTCTCTCAGCCCTGGGCCTTCACCTTGTCCCCTTCGGTCATGTGAGGAAACACTGGGCAGAAGTGTGCTTTTTCTTGCTGAGGATAATGATAGCTGCAAATCCCTAGTTGTGTTTCCAGACATCAGGCCTTGCATGGGAGTATTTATTCACATGGATTATTAACTCTTAATTCTGTGGTGACTGTTGTGGATTCCCCTTTATGTAAGTGGTAACTCAAACAGGGAGAATCTTGTGCCTGAGTGTTGTGTTAAATAAATGGCGATGCTAGGCTCTGGGCTCAGGCACACCTCGATCCTTACTCAATTTATTATGTCTTTACTTCATTCTGGGTGGAAACCCCTGCATGAGGGCACCTTTTCCCACCTCTCCTTATTTCAATTTCTTTGCTGTAAATGGGGTTGGCAGTGGTCTTGGTTTGTTAGTGTGCCACTTTGTGAACTCTCCATCCATGCAGGGCTCTCTTGCTCCAATTACAAGAGGTCCCGTCTCTGGCCCAGGGCGACAGAGGCAAGGTGAGGGAGGCTGAGAGGCCTGGGTCAGGCTGTCTAGGGCCAAGAGGCATTGCCGCTCCTCAGTAGTTCTGGGAACACCTGGGCCTTTGGGAGATGGTGCGTTTGGCTCACGTAAGGATCTTCACAGGGATCTGGGCTTACATGTAGCCAGCGGCCTCACATTGATTTCTCCACAGTATGCTGAGCTGGCAAGAACTAAAGCATGGCCTGGGTGGGGATGAGCTTCCTAGCTAGCAACCTAGCTTTCTCTCTTGGTGCTGAAAACACTAAGTGCAGGGATCTCCTAGGAGACAGAGTGGCCAGATGGCGCCAAGGACTGCACCTGTTCCTGCCATGAGGGAGGTCCTGATTCCAAGCTGAAGAAGAACAAAAGGAGAAATTGTTGCCATTGTAGCAGCAAGGTGAGGACCATACTGGGGCACTGGTACTCGGGTCTGAGCTGCCTGGGGTAGCCCAGGTTTCCTGTTGCGCTGTTGTTTGCTACTATAGATTTGCACCTCTTAACTAAAAAGACAACACATGTAAGTAACAGGCAGTACACATGTGTCCATATTACAAAGAAAACAGAACCTTTCAGATATCTATGATGGTTTTTCCTCTTTAGAAAAGAAGAATAAAGCTTTTGGAATTGGAAACCAGCTTAGCTGTTCCTGTCCCCTTAGTTCTTTTTTTTTTGCTTTCTTGAAATCACTGTTATAGGGAACACAGACTTCTGGAGGCTGGCATTGTGGGCTGTTTGCAGTCCCCCGTATCCCATACTGGAATGCCGGGTTTTTTTTTTTTTTTAAAGATTTATCTATTTATTGGAAAGTCAGATATACAGAGAGGAGAAGAGACAGAGAGGAAGATCTTCCGTCTGATGATTCATTCCCCAAGTGAGTGCAACGGCCGATGCTATGCCGATCCGAAGCCAGGAGCCAGGAACTTCTTCCGGGTCTTCCACACAGGTGCAGGGTCCCAAGGCTTTGGGCCGTCCTTGACTGCTTTCCCAGGCCACAAGCAGGGAGCTGGATGGGAAGTGGAGCTGCTGGGATTAGAACTGGCGCCCATATGGGATCCCTGCGTGTTCAAGGCGAGGACTTAAGCTGCTAGGCCACACCGCTGGGACCCTGGAATGCCAGTTTTTAAAAAAATATTTATTTTTATTGGAAAGTCAGATATACAAAGAGAGGAAGAGACACAGAGAGGATCTTTGATCCGATGATTCACTTCCCAAGTGGTTGTAACGGCCAGACCTGAGCTGATCCAAATCCAGGAGCCTGGAGCTGCTTCCAGGTCTCCCATGCGAGTGCAGGTTCCAAGGCTTTGGTCTGTGCTCAACTGCTTTCCCAGGCCACAAACAGGGAGCTGGATGGGAAGTGGGGCTGCCGGAATTAGAACCGTCGCTCATATGGGATCCTGGTACAGTGAAAGGTGAGGACTTTAGCCACTAGGCCACCATGCTGGGCCTTAGAGTGCCAATTTGAGTCCCATCTACTGCACCTGATCTGGCTCCCTGCCACTGCACCTGGGAAGCTGCAGATGATGGCTCAAGTATTTGGGCCCTTCCACCCATGTTGGAGACCTGGATGGAGTTCTTGGCTTCTGCTTGGCCCAGATCCTACTATTATGAACATTAGGGGAGTAAAGCAGTTGATGGAAGTCTCTGTCACTCTGCCTTTTAATAAGTCCTTACCAAAAAAAAAAATTATAATTCTGATTCTCTGTGGTGGAATTGGTTGGCAGCAAAAGCAGTCTTGTTAGAGGGAGAGATGACCTCCAGTGCTTGGCTTGGGGCTGTTCACAGTGGTTGGGACCACCATCTATGTTGAGTGACATTCTGAACACAAGGAATCCTTGGGATGCAGTTGGTAGGACACTGACTCAGAGTGTCATCCCTGCAGGTTTATGACAGCAAATCCTGCAAGAGCAAGGAGCCTCAGGAGTTGGTTGGCAGCAGCCCTCAGCGAGCAGCAAGTCCTGGGCCTGGTGCTAAAGAAGCTGGGCGGGGCAAGGACGTGATGGATGAGGAAGCCTCGGAGGAGCGTGCAAGCCCAGAGGCCAACCAGAGCCGGCCTGGCAGGACCTCCAGGAAGGCGGAGGTGCCTGTTCCCTGTGAGTGACCTGTCGGCCCCATGCGGCCGACATGACTTTTTCCCCTTGTTTCTGTCTTGCTCCCTTGCTTCACATGGAGACTGGGAACCTAGCTGTTATTGCTTTCTCAGGGCTCGTACCGCCTCCTTCACTGCCAGACCAGCAAGAGCCCCTTGTGTTGAGCCTTATGGCCTCACTAGCTTTGCCACAGAGCAGTCAGCATCTCTGGTGTCCCCTTACTGGAAGCCCTCCCGCTTTCTCCTAGAGCTCTGTAGTCTACATTCTACAGGCATGGCTGCTGTCTGCCCTGCTTTCACACCTGTGAATGGGCACTGTGTGCCGGAGTGCTCCAAGATGACCCTGAGCTTACCACTGGTACTTCTTGATCCTTTTCCTTTCACGCAGGCCTGGCAGCAGGGAGCACCCTGGCATACCCCTGTGAGGCAACTGTCCCAGAACGTCTTCTGGATGTCCCTCGACCTGGCTCCCCTGAGGTTCCACAGATCCCCTCCAAAACTGGAGCTGAACTGGTCACCATTGGGAGCAACCAGGCTGGGCCTGAGGGACTCTCCTGCCCCAGTGCACCCTCCAGACCTCAGAAGGACAAGCACCAGGAAGTGGAAGGGGCAGAGGCTTCCACACCGCTCTGGGATACATCCAAAACTGAGAAATCACCAGGTACTGGTGAACCTCCTGCTTCCTTCCCGAGCCCTGGCACTTCGAGGACCAAAGACATAAGGAGAAGACAGGTGTCTGCGAAAGTAGCGGCTCCAGAGAGCCAGCCGCACTCAAGCAGTGCGAGCACAGAGGTGGCAGACAGGACTCCCCCAGCCCCTGCATCTTCATCAGGGATGGACACCACAGAAACACCTCCCAAAACCTCTAAAGGGGCTTTGCTTAAAGACGGTGGGGTACCGGGCAGGGGCCCAGAAGGGGAGCACCCGCTAAAGGCCACAGAAGCTACCGTGTGTGCCAACAACAGCAAGGTCAGCTCCACGGGTGAGAAGGTGGTCCTGTGGACGAGGTAAGTGAGCATGCCTCTGCACGGGCGGGCAAGTATGGACCACACCCACGGGGCTCTTCCCAACCAAGGCGTTTGCTTATAGGGAAGCCGACCGCGTGATTCTCACCATGTGCCAGGAGCAAGGGGCGCAGCCACAGACCTTTAGCGTCATCTCACAGCAGCTGGGCAATAAGACCCCTGCTGAGGTAAGTGGGGGTGGGAATGCCTGGCAGGGACAGGGTGCTACCTCAGGGAGAGGGGCAAAAGGGGTGCGCAGGTCAGAGCCCCAGCGTTTTCGAGTGTTCCTTTTGGTTAGATGGCCCCAGCTCCCAGCAGCTGCTGTGTGTGCCGGGAGGTTGCAGTGGAAGGACCAGCAGCAACCAGCATCACCTTTCTCCTTACAGGTGTCCCACCGCTTTCGTGAACTCATGCAGCTGTTCCACACGGCCTGCGAAGGCAGCTCGGAGGACGAGGATGACGCAACCAGCACCAGCAATGCGGACCAGCTCTCTGACCATGGGGACCTTCTGTCGGAGGAGGAGCTGGATGAGTGAGGCCTGGTGCGTGGGTCATCATCTGCGCAGGACCACATCCCAGATGTCAGGGGGGAGGGGCAGCCCCCTCATGGGTCCGGTCACTGAGTTCAGCACACGGGATGGCTGAGCAGGGGCTCAGGGCTGAAGGAGGCTGGAGGCCTCAGGTGGGCCTGGGGATCTGTCCTCTGCCGCACTGTTCAGGGCCTTTCAAGTACCTTGCACACCTACTTTGTGAGTAGCTCTGAGGGAATGGGGCTGTGCTTTCTCTTCCCTTTTTTTTTTTTTGGGTCTCATGTCACATATTAATTGCCCTAAGCATAATGAAGGCAGATGATGGTGTATCCACTCCCAAGAAGTCGAGCTGTACTGCCTCAAGACACTGGACTCGGCATCTGGCAGTTTTTATTGTAAACTAGCTCTCCCCGACCCCTTCCCTGGGATGCCTAGTCCGGGAGGCCATCCCCCTCCTGGTAGCACTGAGCCAGGCTGTGCAGATCCTGCCGCAGCTCCTCCACATCATCCAGCTCCACTCCCGCGTCCATGAAGCTGACCCAGCGCCGCAGGTCGAGTGCTGTGAGCTCCCTGGCCAGGCCTCTCAGAGTCCGGTGCAAGGCCGAAGTGGAGCACAGGGCCCCCAGGACTGGGATGCTGCTCCGTGCTGTGGAGGGAGGGCAAAACGAGAGCTAGGAAGGAACTGTGCTTGGCATCAGGCCTGGGCTGCCAGGAGCTGCCAGGAGCTGCAGGGGCTGCCAGGGCAATCCTGGCTCTGGGTGTGCCCGACCGAAGTAAACTCAGTCACTGTGTGTACTACTGTCTCCTTAGTGTGCCAGCCCCTGGAGTGAGGCTGCCTGGCAGCAGCTGCAGTGGGGGCTTGTGCACTTGTCAATGCTCTGCCCAGGCCAGCAGACAGTAAAACCCTTCTTGTGCTTGCACTCTGTGTCCTTGGCCTCCTACCTGCCTGCTCTCAGGGGAACCATCCAGAACCATACCTTGTTGGCAGAAGCTCGAGGAGAAGAGGGGTGGGTAGGGAGGTGCCACCCTGCAGGGGCTCAGCAGCAGGTGGCATGAGCTGTCGGGACAGAGCAGAGTGCTCAGGTGAGCAGCCAGTGTGGGGGCTGGGAGGGGCAGGGCAGAGGCTGCTCACACTGACCTCAGGCCGCTGGGTTGGTGCTGTTGCAGGTACTGGGCCAGGACATCTTCCCCAGTGGTACAGGCATGCAGCGGGGAGGGCCAAGGTGTCCCCGGGGGGAGCTGACTGCCAGGACAAAAGCAGCCACATCTTTGCTCTGTGCAGCATGACTGTGGGCAGGCAGGAACACAGAGCTGCCTTTCACTAAGGGGAGGTGGATGGTGGAGGAGGCGGTGTCTAGAAGGGCCTGGACCGACGTCTGTGTGGGAAAGAGTAACAGCCCCTCACCTGGTGTGGCAGGCCTGGTTCAGGCCCCTCAGCACCACGGACTGGGCAAAGCAGCGTGTTCCAGAAGGGTCCCCGCAGGCAGACAGTGGGGTCCAAGGGGGAGCTTCTCCCAACTGCATCAGCGAATCAGGGAGGCACTGGCCTGGAACCCAGGGGAAGGGGATGGAGGCGCCCGCTGTCGCCACCTGGAGACAGGAAGTGACATTACAAGGCTGCGTCCTGGGAGGCCCAGCCAGCCCCTCTGGAGTCCTAGTACCTTTCTCCCAGAGCAGCTTAGCATATGGGCCAGTTGCACCATGGAGACTGGTGAGGAGCGGAGGCGGTAGGGTGTCGTGAGTGTGTCCAGGGCCGTGGCCAGAATGGCGCTGCAGTGGAAGGGCAGAGCGGCCTGCAGAGGAAATGAGAGGCATACTTGCCTGATGGGCCGATGCAAGGCTGCAGAAGCCTAACACTGTTTACACTCAGATTTCAAGAATGGCAAGGAACAGGCTGACTTGAGTCTGGGGTGGACAGCTGCAGGAAAAGCTTAGCCCCTTACATCATAATGCAGGCTAGGGAAGGTTACAGGGGGCTCCGGCCGCAGGCCCAGGCTCCCTCCCAAGGACAGGGGGCAGACAAGAGAGCTGGAGGAAGTCAAGTGCGCCAGACCGAAGGCTGTGTTTAACAGGCGATAGATGTTTTTCTGGGGGTCCTGGTGAAAGAAGAGATGAGTAGTTGGCACTGTGCAGTTCTTGTACCAAGATACTTGAATCTCCTGCTTTCCCCGCTCACAAGGCCCACTCACTCCAAGATTGTAGGGCCCTGGGAGCAGGCCCCAAGCAATTATCCCCCGTCCTGAGTATTCATCTTGCAGCAGCTCCGCAGCTTTAGCGCCTACCCCAGAGAAACCGTCGTGCAGGTCACACAGGATCTGGAAGCCCTGGAGGAGGGGGGGCAGTGAACAGTGGTGGGCACACGTGTTGGCTGCCTACCAGGCGCTGGCTGTCCCCTGCAGCTACCTGCAGATAGTCACATTCCTCCACGTAGAAGTGCAGCCTGTCTTCCAGCATCTCCAGGTACCTGGGTTCCCTCAGGACACTCTCCCCTTGGCCAAACGCCTCCAGCCGACCTGCCTCCCTGCCCAGAGGGAAACACGTCCATGACTGACAGCCCTCCAGGTCAGCTCCTCCATCTCTTGTAGTGGCCTTGGCCAGCAGTGGTGGGGACCTGAGGCCTGGCCTTGCAGCCCCTGGTGCTACCTTACCCGTCGTGGTTGTACTTGTGGATCATGCAGATGCTGCGGGGGTGCAGGTGGACTCGGAGGAAATCTGACCAGACTGTGACGCTGCCCTCCATGGGGGGCGGGGGCTGTGGTTCTGGGGCCGCGGGGACTGGTGGAGGGCCTGCGTGAAGACACAAGAAAACACATCTCGCTTGTCTAGCTGCCCAGCCTGGTCCTGCAGCTCCTGGTGGCTGTGGCTGTCTCACCTTTGCCTCGTGGGACACATCTGACCCTCCAGACGCCATCGCTGCTCAGCACTCCCTGCGAGACGGGCAACTGCCTGTGTGGAGGCTGAGGGACCTGACCACTCCCACAGCCCCCTCGCTCAGGCAGTCAGTGTCTGTCATTTCTGCTTGCCCTCGTTGGGGTGCCGCCCTGGGCCCTGGGCCCCCACCTTGGCACTGACAAGTTCCTGGAGATGTGGATTCTTGGGGTCTGGTTCCTCTTGGTGGGTGGTGAGCTTGCCCTGCCTGAGAGAGGTTGAAGGTAGATCAGATTCTAGCTGTGAGGGCCTCCCCAGCTGTGAGGGTGATCCCTACTCCCTCCACACATGCTTACATACCAGGCGATGGCCGCCTCTAGCTGGCTGTCCCTGTAGAGTCCACCTTCTTGGAGGGAGTTCAGGCTACCTGCAGGGAGAGTCATGGGAGAGGGCGGGCCAGAGCCTAGGGGTCCCGCCCCCTCCCATTCTTTATGGCCTGCTGTCATCGTCCCTTCAGCACGCCATTGGATACATGGGGTGGGAGAGGAGAACCGTGGCCACGGACAATCTACAGTGATGCTGCCCTTCCAGCTTAGTCATTACTGTGGGTCCTGGGACGAAAACCACACCCCCCACGGGATGCGCGTCCCACTGCCCCCAGGGCCAGACCAGCCCATTCCAGGGAGGCGGTGCGGAAGCAAGTCTTGTCTTTCTGCCTCCCTCAGGTGTTGGCATAGGCAGTTGGTGCCTTCCTCCCTGGACCTTGAGGCCAGTACCGCCGCAAGGGCTGGAAGCGAACTGAAGGATGCTGGCTCCTTGCCACGTGAAAGGGGACGCCAGATTCGCCAGGTCCCCGGCTCCGCCTCACCCTTGAGGTCCATGAGGATGAGCCGTGGCGTGTAGGTTTCCTGGCCGTGCAGCGTCCGGCCGGTCCGATACAGGACGTCGGGACACAGCTCTCCCGGCGGCTCCTTGGGGTCGGTGGATCTGTCCAAGGCAGCATCCTGGGGAGGCACGGGGCGGGAGCAGCAGGCCGGACGTCAGGACTGTCGGCTCCAGGGAGTTCCCGCCGGGCAGCCTGCGGGGCATCTCACCTGCTGGTTCCACCAGTGCGCTCCCACGAACCCCGCAAAGTGTCCCAACTGCAGCGTGAGGACCTCCCGAGCCCCGCCCGCCATGCTGCGCGGCCGCGCCGGGTCGCAGCTTCTGCGGGGGCTGCTCCCTGCTGCTCGCCCATTGGCTGGGTAGGGGCATGGGCGGGGCCTCCTCCTTCTCTCCTATTGGCCCATAAGCACGTCATTTCTAATTGGATAAACGATCGATTCCTTCCTGGAGACGCCGTTGGCCACGCCCACCTGCCCCAACCGGAGCCAAGGGTCGTGCGCGGCGGGGCGGGGGGGGGGAGGGCTCGCCGGAAGTCGCCGGGGCCACGTGTAGCGTTCTGAGCAACGTTTCCTGGCGGTTTCGCGAGGGTCCGACTTGAGCGTTCCGGGTTACACGCCGGAAATCACCACGGTTCCGAGTTCTCACCCGTCCCCATCTAGCTGTGTGCACGTTTATGTCAGCATACCCGCGTAGGCCTAGCGTCTGGCTTTTCGCTCAGGGTGGTTTGTGTAATTAATCCCTGTTCTTGATCACCACGGTAACCAGAGAAGGGTTGAGATTGCCTCCAACCTAACCAGCAGGCCCTTCTGGAGTCCTGGCACCTTTCCCCCAGAGCAGCTTAGCACATGCACCAGGTGTAACATGGAGACCAGGCTTGTGGCCTGGGAAAGAAACCATGGAGGACCCAAAGCCGTGGGACTCTGCACCTACAAGGAAGACCCAGAAGCAGCTCCTGACTCCTGGCTTCAGATCAGCTCAGCTCCAACCGTTGCAGTCTATTGGGTAGTGAACCAGCAGATGGAACATCTGTCTCCCCTTCTCTTTGTAAATCTGACTTGACCTGCCTTTCGAATAGAACAAATGTTTTTTTAAAAAAAGTTATTTTTCTTGCGAAATTAGATTTACAAAGAGGAGAAGAGAGGAAGATCTTACGTTCGATGATTCACTCTTCAAGTGACTGCAATGGGTGGTGCTGTGCCAATCTGAAGGCAGGAGCCAGGAACTTCATCCAGGTTTCCCACGCGGGTGCAAGGTCCCAAAGCTTTGGGCTGTCCTTGACTGCTTTCCCAGGCCACAGGCAGGGAGCTGGATGGGAAGCAGGGCTGCTGGGATTAGAACCAGCGCCCATATGGGATCCCGGGCGTGCAAGGTGAGGAGCTTAACCACTTGCGCCACCGCGCCAGGCCCAAGACAGTGTTTCTTAAAATAGCGCAACAATTCAGTTTTTTTTTTTTTAAAAAGATTTTTATTGGAAAGTCCAGTTTCTTTTATGTTTTATTGAGAAGGTGAACATATGGGGAGGAGAAACAGAAAGATCTTCTGTCTGCTGGTTCACTCCCCAAGTAGCCACAAAGGCTGGAGCTGAGCTGATCCAAAGCCTGGAGCTTCTTCTCGGTCTCCCACAGGGGTGCAGGATCCCAAGGCTTTGGACAGTATTTGACTGCTTTCCCAGTCCACAAGCAGGGAGCTGGATGGGAAGTGGAACAGTCAGGACATGAACTAGCACCCATTTGGCATCCTGGCACATGCAAGGCAAGGATTTAGCCACTAGGCCATTGTACTAGACAGTTTTTCTTGAATGGTACACTTTTTCTAAAAATATTTTAAATTTGAATTGCAGTTAGAAAAGAGAGCATGTTCATTCCCCAAATGATCACATGGTTGGTACCGGGCTCGGCTTGATTCCAGGACCTCCATCTGAGTCTCCCACATGGCTGGCTGGGGACCCAAAGCATCTTCTTAAACTTTTCTTGTGCCATTAGCAGGGAATTGGATTGGAAGTGGATCAGATGAAACTTTAACTGGTGCCCACACACCTGTTATGTCACAATCAATGCCAGCCTCCAGAATACAAAAGTTGAGATTTGTATTTTCATATTTACTTTGAATACTCCTATTTACATTATGCTTCCCTACTCATGGCGTATGGGGAAAGCATCGCTCAATTCCACAGCACATGGGAGATTTTCTGCTCATCTTTTTGTTACTGTTCATTAAATTCTTTGGTATTTGTTGGCTCAGTTTATGGTCCAGTGACTAAGAATTTTTCAAAGGTTTGTTTGACCTTACAATGGTTTTTATTTCAAAAGTACAAAGTCTTTAGAAAAAGTAACAATTGAAAGATCTGAGATTTTTTGATTTTGCCTGAAAGCCAGGGTGATAGGAGAGTGTATGTGCCATTAAGGAAGAAAATCTTCTGTTTATTGGGACTGCCTGCAGCTAGGTCTGGGCCAGGCCAAGCCAAGGACAGCAGATAGGTACCCCACCTTGGGTTCTCACATGAATGGTTGGGACCCAGGCACTGGTGGTATTAGCCACTGCTTTCCCAGATGCGTTCACAGAGGGCTGGGTTCGAAGGGGGAGCAGGTAGGACTCCAATGGCAGTCTTTTATAGGATTCTGGCAGCGCTCAGGCAGAAGATGAACTTGTGACCCCACAAAGCTAGCATGGATAATTTTTTTGTGTTTAACTTTTCATTGCTTTGCTCTTGCTAAACTTATTTTTAGAGATATCTCAGAGCTTCATCTGCAGATTCATGTCACCTGGAGATGAAGGCAGCTGTATTCCTTCCTCAAGTGGATTCATTTAGACTGCAAGATGACCTTGCAAAATTCACAAGATGACTTTGTGACAAAATTTCGTGCAGACACAGGCTCAGTGTTCACAACATAATCTGTGAATTCTTCTGCAGAGACTGTACATCAGTGAGTGTAAAGCCAGAGAGCTCAACAAGCCACTGGCTCATGAGTTTAGCCTCCAAAATGTAGGAACATCTCCAGTGCTTACTTACAGCTAGGGAAAGCATCAAACTTACAAGTTGCTTTGCAGGTCTTGTCCGGGAAACCCTCCGTGGTCAGAGTGCAGGCATTCCTGAGCCCCAGTGTCTGCAGCCTGCAGTGTGAATGTTCCCCGCCGCAGGCTGAGGTGCCTCGCAGCATCCTCCTCCAGTGTGAACCAGGTGTTGTCTGTGGCAACAGGCCTTGTGATGCTGTTTTTATGAACACTCTGTGGGCTACTTTGTAAACATTTATTTTAGTAGGAATTTTGGCAAGCAAGGAATATGGAAAAAAAAAAACTAAGACTTTATACACAGAGAAATTTTTGGGGTGTGTGTGTGTATAGAATCTGGTAACGGGTTGCTTCTAGAACAGAAATAGAAGCAAGAGGAAGCTGTTTGCTTTTCCATGATTTGTTTCTGTATGGGCTGAAATGTATCACATATATGGGACAAAATCCATCGGAGTAAAGGCACAGCAGAGACGTGGGGTGACATCAGTTGGGGAAATCTAGAAAGTTCACTCAGTAGCCTGTGAAAGGCAATTTGAAGGGAGGCAAGAGTAGTCAGAGGAGAAAAGTAACTGAGCAGATGTTTATAGTCACTCAAATGACAGCAGAGTAGTGAGGAAGCAGAGGGAGCAGACCTGCCCATTTCCTGGACCCCTCGATGGAGCAGTCAGTCAGCCTGCATCCCAGATGTAGTGCCTGCCTGGTTCAGTTCCTAGCTCTGGTCGTTTCAGGCACTGGGAAATTGAACCAGTGAATGGGAACTTGTTCCCTCTGCTTAAGAAAGAAAAGGAAGGCAGGGGTAGGTTTAATGGTTTGCATTGGGATATAGGTCAATCAGTGGAGAGCTACGAGGGGAGAGACCCACAGGGATCCAGCCAGCCCAGTGTGGGAGCTGGCCAAGGCTCTGTGTGCTGCTGGGGCATCAGGCTGGCTAAGCCAACACGCTGGATGCTGGATGAGGGTGCAAGTTCCGTATCTGCTAGGGAATTCTTCAAGTGAAGCATCGTAAATGCAAGTTAGAAAGGTAGCTACTTACCATATGATGGACAGCCACTTTGTAGTAGGTGACTTCACTCTAAAACCTTTGTGAATTTACCCTAAGACTCAAGTATAAAATTATAATGCTGTATCTGAAATGCAAGACTGGAAGAATCTCACATTTTTGAGTTTCATGGATTTTGGAATATTTGCATAGACCTACTGGTTGAAATTTCTTCATCTTAAAATCTGAAATCAAATGCATGAGGGTCCTTTTGTTGTTAATGCTTGTAAAGTTACAGATTCTGGAATTTCAGGTTAGGGAAATGCTACCTGTATTGTTATCCTCAACAAAGTGAATGCTAGAGAAATGCCATCTGGCCAATGGGAAGATTCTTTACATGCTATAAATCAAGCACAACACTTTAAGAAAAATATTTACCTTTTTTTTTTTTTAAAGGAAATCATCCATGATTTACGTTGAATGTGAAAACCAGTCAATGAACTGATACTGGTTTCAGGGTCAGGCTGCTAGCTGCTAGCCACGTACGCACAGTCCCCTGCAGGGAGCCTGGTTCCAGGCTGACCCGGAGCCAGCTGCCAGCCACTGCAAGCTCTTCACAAGGGTCAGGCTGCTCTTGCCAGGTGCTTCAGGCTGTTTTCCCAACTGGTTCCTGCTGAACGGTGAGGCCACCGTGGCCCCACGCCCTCAGAGATAGGCACAGAGCCGTTCCAGCTGCCCGGGGTTTGCGTGGCTCAGGAATAGCAGCTCCTGTTTCCCATCCTCCGTGTGGGCTACGGTGGAATCAGAAAGACAGATGACAGGGCCTTCCCAAGCACTGTAGCCCTAGAAGTCAGAGGCCCTCTGCTCCAGCTCCCGCTGGCACGTAACCCACTTCCTAAGGTGGCCCTTCTGAAGGCTCTCTGCAGTGCCTCCCAGCCTGGTCTACGTGACCTGTGCTGTCCCCGGACTCCTCTGGAAAGTGCTGATGTTCCAACTGATGCTCAGTCACCAAGGGAGGACTGGCTGGCTCTCCCTTGGTGTTTCCTCTCAGGTCCAGCACGCTGGCCAAGGGGAAGTGAACAGTGAGGTTGCCCGCCGTCAGAGTGGACCAAAAGGCGGGCAGAGAGGTGGCTGGTGATGAGGTAGCATCTCCCACAGTGGGAATTACTTGGCATGAGTCACAGCAGCACCTGAGTCCCTCAATTGACTTGGATGGATGAAAAACTTGGCAGCCAGAGTCATAGCAACACAAACACATGGGAACTGCCCGGCCCCGCTCCCACCTTCAGCAGGAACACTTTAGTCTGGGTTGCAGTGAGAATTTGGGGAGA